GGGGTCTATGCAAATAGGGCAGTGTCCGTCAACAGTTGTGGGCAGGGTCTGTACAAAAAGACGTCACTTTGTACAGAATCTGCAAACACTGCTTATGACCTGACCTCCTCAGATTCTCACAGATGCCTTTATATTCTAGATTTTCTCCATCTTGACCCCTAAATGGTAAAACACAATGAATTATTTTGCTTAGTTTTGGTGTAAACGTTTAGTGCAAGCTGTGTTGGTGAAGCTACTTTAAAATTGTAGCTTTCCAAGCTACTCATTTAAATTAGTTTAACAACTAATAGCTTGACAACATTTTTACAAAGCAGCAAAACAAAACAAAAAGAAGCTAAATGCATTAAAGCTATTTAAGGGGTTAGTCTTGTATATGAAATGCTTGTGTCCTTTACGCTTCTGTGCATGTTCCTCATACACACTCGCATCCCCAATACCCCAAAGTCGCCCACTCCTCCCACCGCAGACACCCTCCAAGACATGCTTCTGCTTAGAAGAGAAATGTCTTTGAAGTCCTGTCAGTTTCCGAGACAGTGCGGTCGCCCTGTCAACTCCGCTTAGCGGCGATCCCATCCCTAGCATCCCGCTGTTATCCTCCCTCAAGAGCCTCAACGCCCAAGAGAGCAGTCTGAGGTCCATTATGTGGGAGTTAGTGGGTTCGGGCCTGCGAGATGATTCTTACTTTTACTTTTACTTTTACTTTTAGTCATTTAGCAGACGCTTTTATCCAAAGCGACTTACAAATAAGAAAAAGTAATTAAAACTAAAAGCTAAAACTATAAATACTATATATATATACACACATTTAAGAAAATAAAAGAAATTAAATAAAAATGACAAATGCATACAACACTCAAAATACTGATGGATAGAGAGATAGATGAACAGACAGACAGAAAGATAGATAGAAAATATAATTTTATCAGTGTGTTGTTTATCAGTATTTTGTCAGATCTCATTACATTTTTTACTTTCGGTCAGGAAATGAAGCTCTGTTTCTCTCTCTTTGTCTCTCAATCTCTTTCTCACGCTCTCACTCACTCTTGGTCCACCAGCCACATCCATATTTACATGGTGTTTCTATGCCGTGTTCTCAAGCGACAGCTCCCCCCGCTATCTTTAATGGAGGTTTTCCTCTCCCAGTGTTAGTGTGTCAGAAAGCCTATCATTTGTAAAGCCGGGTGTTTGCGGTAAGACGATGGCCGTCTGCTGCAAGTCGACGGGGCCTTCTGGACCCCCGAAAGAGTTGAAAATGAAGGCTGCGCATGCAACGTCCTCAGTCTCCAGGGAACAAACGTTGAGTGTGTTACGGTGCATTAATATCATCAAACACACCATGGGAATTTTTTGAAGTGCCACCATGTGTGGGGCTTTACATAGCTAGGAATACAGCCATTATGCTAGTGGTGAAGAGCTAGCAGCGATTTAGCTGTGTGTTACTTTCAAATCATTTACGTACGCAGCTTTTCTAACACCATACTGTAAAATTAAATATTTCCGTGCAGCAGTTGAATTTGATCGTAAGAAAATCTTTGACATGTTTCTTGTGCATTGTATTTTCATTTTTTTCATGGCTATGTAGCATTACATCCTCTCAATTATTATTATTATTATTATTCTTTTGCTTTTTCTTCAGCCTGGAATTTTAATCCAATTGGAGAAAATGGTGGGTGGTGAGCTGGTTTTCGTCGCACCCCAGTGCTCTAATTGATTGATTAAAGTAATTGATTGGTTTGGGAGGCCCAGCAACTGATTAAAATGCTTTCAGACATGAGCAGATTGAAAGGCAGCATGTTCCAGAACACTCTCTGGCCCCCAGGGGCCCATGTCTGGCTCTCCTTGAAGAGCAGAGACAGTGGATGTACGTTGGTGTCTGTGTGCTTGCTGTCCATCTGGTCAGTGGAATTAGAATGGTCTCTGGTTAGTTGTTCATTATTTAGACATCTATTGTTTTAGCTCACATAATCATTGCAACATTTGTTTGATTTAAATATGATCTATCTATCTGTCTGTCCGTCCATCTGTCCATTTATCTGTCTGTCCATCCATCCGTCCATCTGTCTGTCTGTCCATCTGTCCGTCAATCTGTCCATCCATCCATCCGTCTGTCCAACTTTCTGTCTGTCTGTCTGTCTCTGTCCATCCATCCATCCATCCATCCATCCGTCTGTCCATCTGTTTATCTGTCTGTCCATCTATCCATCCATCAATCTGTCCATTTATCTATCTGTCTGTCTGTCTGTCTGTCTGTCTTTCTATTTTTTTAAATTAGTAATCAGTATTTCTGCGGTGGAATGATAAATAGTAATCAGCATTACAGTGGTGGAATGATACAGCAAGCACAATGTCTTGCTTTGTGCATTTAGAAGTGCAAAAAACTAAAATCATACAACAGCATAGCAGTGCATTACATTTACAGCACTTTCATTGTTATGTTGCATAATTAACTGGCACATGCACAGAGGGCACTTGCTCTTTGCTGAAGGTTATCCGAAGGGTTTTGCTCCCTGTGTACTGTGACTCAGCATGTTATGATGTCACTGTTTTTCCCCTCTTTTCCCCAGATAAATGCATGCTTTGCTTTTATTCTGTGTTAAACAAAAGGAGAAACATGCCCCCACCATCCTAAGGGAGCTTTGACAGTCTTTCTCTCATGAACATATGACAGGAGTGTATTATCAAAGCAGGAGCTTTTGCTAGAGGCTGGATGTATGTGTGTGAACGTGTTTTTCTGTGTGTGACCATGTGCCTGTCTGAGTATGACAGGCTGATGAGGCCTGAAAGAGGCTTAGAAAAATGAAATAAAAAAGCTGTTTTTGAAAAGGTGAGATTTGCCATTCACAACCCATTCAACATATGTGATGTATTTCTGAGTGAAACACAATATATTCAATGAAAAACATGTATGGTGGACTTGATTTCATATATTAGGAGTTCAACGGATTATAAAAAGTGGGGGTTATATACCAAAATTGAGCTAAAAGATTCCAAAAATTCCACATTTTAAAGGAAGAGCATTTTTTTTTTACAGAGACAAACTTTTTTTTCTTCAGAATAAGATGCACTGATGAAATTGTTACTGCTTGTTCCTTGTCTTATTGAGAACAAAGTAAATCATTTTGATTTTATGTTGGCTTTATGAAAAAAAAATATATTCTCTTTTAGCTAGAGTTTCTTTTAAACATTTAGTTTTTAGTAGAAGACTGGGAGAAAAGATCTAATTATGAGTTAGCGGTGTATGAATTGGAACCTGTTTGGTTTGTGGTAATAGCTAACAGTTGTCAGGGATGGCTAACGAGCTGCAACCAGACAGGGAACAGCCTTGGCTGCAGATGCCAGGCTTCAGGTCCAGTAGGTTTGGCATCATACAAGAAGAGAAAAGAGACTCAAGCAGAAAAAGAGAGAGTCAAAATTCAGGGGACATATTGACTTCTTTGGCAAGAACTCTGAGCTGAGAGTGTAAAAAAAAAAAGACGAAAAGAAAAAGAAGAAACAACAGAGTTAAACAGAGCAGTGGACCTGTGCAGGAGGGAATGAGAGCGAACAAGAACAGAGGAGAGAATAAAAGAGAGCTGAGCGCTGGAGGAATGCTGATCCCTGCATATTTAGCTGGCAGATGGCTGAAAGGTATTTTTACCTACAGTCAGGTCAAGATCCTATAGATCAGTGGTTCTCAACAGTTGGGTCGGGACCCCAAAATGAGTCTTAGGACTTTTTGGATTAGAGATAAATAAAATTATGTCTTTGAAAAGAGCTAGATGGACTACAACAGATTGCAAAGGTTTGATAGTCTACTATTTTTAAATTTTAGAAAAAAAATTATGAGTCTCCTAAAATATAAAATACAGTATGTAAAATATATACATAAGAAAAAAATCTTTAAAAACTTAAACTGTTGGAAAAATAGTAAAAAAAAAAATCATGACCCATCCCTTTAGGATCCAAAAATGGGTCTCAGGTCTGTTTTGTGCACTTGCAGGAAAGAAACGGCTAAATGTATAATCATCAATAGTTAGGAAAGCAAAATAAATCAACTTTTAAAAAGGAAAGAAAAACATTTGTAATTTTTAGTTGTCATAAAAGGCTGAAAATATGTATATCTTGTTGCAAACTCATTTGTGACTTGGTTAAAGCTAGTCAGATCCTTGAAGACTATAACAATTCAAAGTATTAAAAAAAAAGAGCAACATAAAGCCACATCCACAACTGTGCCATTTGATTTGCAGAGGATATGATTTTAGTTTACTGAAATGCCTCATATTTATCTGTTTGGCCCAGATTTTGGAGAATAAAACTTTTGCTACATTTACAAAATTGTCAATTTTACTATTAATGTCATGTAAACATTTGTGCATATTATTGGGTCTATGCAGTTCATTGTAGCATTGCAATATTATATTTTGAGGAGTTTCCTAATTTTGTAGTTTAAAACTTTTTGCTATTGTGATGGATTATGTCCAATGAAAAAATGTGGGTTCTGAAGCAAAACCAGTTAGGAACCACTGATATAGACATTGCGACTTCAACCTCAGCTGAAACAATTTCGGCGCTCCTCCAAATGCTGAATTTAATTGCTGCTTGGATCATATCAAATAGCACGATTGTCTTTCCACAGATGAGCATTTGATAGCAGCCTGAACTCAAATAATACATCAATCCAGATCAAACAGACTGCGAGCTCTTGGCTTGTCTCAGCTCAGCTTTCATTAGAACTAACTGCCTGGGGGACTCAACAAACCACATATTTTCAATCCTTAGAGAAACCTTGGATTTAATGTAAAAATCAATGCTTGTTCTGCCTCTGTTTTGTGTTCAGCCCTGTTCTGAGGTCTTGCAAAGGGGACATCTCTGTAAAAATATGTGTTGTATTCCTGCTTTGCTAAATTCTTGTTACACTACTAATAGGAATGAATCCACGTTCGCCGGGCTACTTTTTTGATCATGTCAAGCTTGCCGTCATAGCTTTTGACCTCTCTGATTTCTTTTCCTGTCTCTTGCAGATAATGACGACCATAAGAATGAAAAAGATGGCAGTATGGACCAAGGTGAGTGACAGTGTTTCCTAATGCAGTGTTCACATTTGCAAACAAAGACGGGAAATTATCACATCCAATATCCTGGAGCCCGACAAAGTTTAATCCACGACATCTGAATCGCTCTCTCCATGATTAATGGAGCCTTTTGTTGTGGATGGCAGCTCTACAATTGCCTATAAACAAGAAAACAAGAATCTACATTTTCTCTCTGAATGCCTGAAATAGTTTCGCTGGCGTTACCATGTGCAGCTTTGGTCTTTTGGCAAGTTAATTGAGATGAAGGTTGCCAGGTGTTGTGCTTTTACAGGCCTGAATTGTTTTGGACCATAGTCAGATTGATTGAAAGCTAATCAGACTCGCTCGCCATCTTGTCGGCAATGACACAATCAAACATTATCAAATGGGAATGCAATTTGCTTGGCATGTCTTCTTTTAACAGTGGTCCATTCAAATGCAAATCGCCTTACCTTCTTTGTTGAGTTTCAGAAAAGCGGAAAAGATTACAAGGCCTTCATCTGGAAGCCTCTTTAACTGTACATTAACAGTGACAAAAAGAGATAGAAAATAAAGGTGTTTCATTGTGACTAATGTGCGTTTGCTACAGGAGCTAAATAGACGGCGGCAGGTACAGCATTACAAATGATTCAGTGCAAAGCTAATTCCCAGCGCTAGGCCCTTAAATCCGGCTTACATAGCCACAATGGTCCCAAACCCGCTTAAACGACTGTCAAAAAGACAACTGAGCATCGTACAATGGTAATCTAATCTGGGTGTATCTCTAGGTGTAAGCTGGACTACAAAACCAGTACAGGTTGGATGATACCAGTCTCTGAGAAGGCTACACAAGAGTTTCAGTCAGATCACAGTAAAAGTGTTGTTATTGTTAGCTAAAGCTATTAAAAATGGCTTGAGTTAATTGAAATGAAACTGAAATAAAATGCATTAGATGAAAAACTTGAAGAGGACTTGGAAAAACTTAGAAATGTTGCCTTGTCAATCAGATGAAATAAAACAAGTTTAAGTTGAAGTAAAATTACTATAACTAAAACTGCAAAAAGCTATATAGAAATATTTATAAAATATTAATTAAAATCACAAAAACACAACAAAATTGCTAGAACTAAAATAAAAAATATAAGCTAATTAAAAATATGAATACATACTATAATAGATGACCTGAACCCAGGTCAAACATGTCTCCAACAGCCACTTAAATTTCATGGAATTATGAGATGGACGTTTTCTGGCAGTGTAACAAGGCCAGCATTTATGGTTTCCACAAAAGTTAGATTATTGAAAACACAGAGGGTGAAAGAGAAGGAGTGCTAAATGAAGCGTCTTAAAGGAGGAAAAATTTTCATACCTCAACGGCATGAAGCGAAAAAAGTAGCATGCTGTGATTTTTACTACAAATGTGAGAAGCTGTTCACAGGACTCTAGCTGTATGCCGAGACGCCCATCAAAATTGGATCCGATCCAGAACAAGCGTTTTTTCAGCACCCAACTTTGACTTTTTTACGGGCGCACTATAAACTGGTATTTTGGAGCAGTCCAACAAGCGTCTAATAGCCCTCTGAACTACTGTAAGTTCTTGTGTTGGGGCTTTGTGCGGTTGTGTTTACTTCTGCACAATACCAGAGAGACCAATCACCTCTTTTGTGGACACTGTTAAACCTCATTGTAAACACTGCACCAAGATGACCCGACATGGCAACACCTATCAGGATTCTATCTTGTTCACAACACAACAAGTATCACATCTGCACACACACACACACACACACACACACTGTAGCTCCCAGCACCCTGCTTTTCCTGCCCCAGCAGTTTCGGCTAGCTTAGCCTCAGTTTCATTGAGTGAATGTTTGACTGGCAGCCAAGCCCTGGCCTTTAGCAGCGCTTCACTTAGCCGGGGCTCTGATTCTCTCTCTTTTTCTCTGGAACCAATTCAAAGGCTCAAATGGTTGCCATTCTCACATGGAATTGAGGCTTTTTTCCCCTTATCCCCCTGTATCAGCTCTCTCCTGCTCTCTACCAATCAATCCTTTTCTCTCCCTCTCTCTGTTTCACCCTCTTGCTGTCTTTCACTGAAATCCCTTACGCTACACTTTTACAGGCCCCATTTTTTATCAGCTGGGTTTTGCCGAGGCACACAAAAGCCCCTGTTGATGTAGAATCACCTGGTGCATGTATATGCACTCCAGCAAGACCTATGACACAATAGCAGGATATTCCTCCACTCATTTTACCCTTATCAGAGCTGTTCAGTATGGGCAATCTGTGCTTTGTAACCTTAGATTTTTAGTGAGCTGGCAGTTGCCCTTTTTCGGTTCTGAGATCAATAGAGAGCTTTTTTTATTTATTTATGCATATATAAAAGAGAACAACTATTTGTAACTATATTTATTTTTTTATGAATTTAATGCTGTTGAAAACAAGGTTATGAGGGATAGACCTAAAGTCTTTACAATGGCACACACTGTATAAAGGTCCTAGATCAAGTAATTTTTGCCATTTGATAACTTTGTTTTATGGAGGTTTTGTCTAATGAATGTTTCTTTTGGAAAGATGTTTCATCAGCTAAACAATTGGTATGTTGTTAAACAATAGTACAATCAATTGAATGCACTGTACCTCTTTCCCCCGTAGCCTCGTTTTTATTCCTGTCAAGAATTAAATATGACACTACACTGACTAAAATATATTACACAAGACTTTCTGGTGGAATCCACCCATAACTGTTTTTCTTACTTTTTATTGTGCTTGCTAATTATTGCTAAGACTTATGGTTTGAGAGTTATTGATACTACTGTAAAATCATAATTAATTTGGGATTTGTTATTTTTGTTTTTAATTTAGTTTAGTGTAAACCATCCAGAACACATTTTTCAGAAAATGTAAAAATCTGGTTTTCTGATTAAAGTTCTCATGAGTGGTATGATTTTATTGACAGATGACATGCAGCCCGTGGGAGAAGAGGAAAAAAATGATGCTGCTGATAAAAAAGGTATGAGAGAATCTGTGTTCTTGTGAGTGCAAGTTCAACTGTCAAAGTCAGTATCACCCAGCATTCCCATCTTCCAAGCATTGTTGAGGGAATATCAAAGTAAGATGGAGTCTCTTCGGGACGTTCTGTCAGGGTGAGGAAACCTGTTTAAGGAGCCGTTAGCCTTCGAATTCTGCCATTTCAGCCTCATCGGTTGTGTAGCACTGAAACAATTACTTGCTTCTCAATAAGATGGACTACAGATAATTAAATTCGTACACTGAAGGGCGGCAGCAGGCTATTAACGCCACAATTTCTCCATTTGTTTTAAAGCCAGAGGGTTGGAGATGGTGTTTTTTTTCTTTCTTTCTTTAATATTAAAGCAGGCAGCACTGATGTCTTTGGGGAAATTTCCCCAGGCTGGTATCTCTCTTCAATACGCAGTACAAAGTCTTTTTTTTTTCAGTAAACTGATACTTTAGCAAACAGCAAACTACCAGATTTTGCCTTTCTAAACAACAAATATATTCCAGGACTACCCTTACAAACATTTGCCAAATTCTGCCAAATGTTGAACTACTATAAAATCAAGTCAGTATTTAACAACATAATTTTTTAAATATACAATTGTTTTTAGTAATTTAACACTTTTTCTGGAAACTATATGGTTAACATGGTGTATTTTTGTTGGGGTACACTGTAAAAAAAAATCAGTAAACTGATACTTTAGCAAACAGCAACCTACCAGATTTTGCCTTTCTAAACAACAAATATATTCCAGGACTACCCTTACAAACATTTGCCAAATTCTGCCAAATGTTGAACTACTATAAAATCAAGTCAGTATTTAACAACATAATTTTTTAAATATACAATTGTTTTTAGTAATTTAACACTTTTTCTGGAAACTATATGGTTAACATGGTGTATTTTTGTTGGGGTACACTGTAAAAAAAAAAATCAATGAAAATTTTCAGTAAAAAAAAAAAAAACTCCAGCTGTGGTTGGCAGAAGTTTATTGTAAAAAAATATGGTAGCAACATTTTAGGTTGTCAATTTAATTTAAATTTACAAGAAAAGGTGTTTTTTAACTGATATAATCTCTAATCTAAAGTACTGAATTACTCAAATCTGTTTTGTACCTTTATAATACACCGACAACCACCACAAAACACAGGTGGTAATTGGAAAGCCACATGATGAAACACAGTTCATCACAAATAGCTTTTCCATAAGCTGAGGTAAATACTATACACAGGGTGCGATTTGTGAAAAAAACAGAGGAGGGGGATGCTTTTGAAAACTTTGTATAGGCGTATAAAACTCTCATAGGCGGACGCTGACCCAACTACCTGTCTTCTTAGTCATTAAATGTTTTTAATACGACGGAAACTGTATTTAACGTGATCAAAATGTAATAAAAACATTGCAAGTTAGGCCTGTTAATTGTAATGATTTCATTTCCACAGTTATTCAAACAACGAATAGATTATATAGAAAAAGTGAGCAAAGAACACGGCATCAACGGAGATTTTTGAAACTCCGAATCAGTTAAACCATTGCATCGCAAAACGATTCACTGTTTCGAAACGCTCCAATTGGATTGCGTATCGCGAATCATTTGATTCAGATCGGGACTTCAAAGCACGTATCGCGATTCGCGAATCATTTGATTTAGACGTCGGAGCGGGTTCGCGGAATGTTTTTTATCCCCACCAGGGATAAAAATAATTCAGCAGAGGCAGGGATGCATAGACCAGAGGGGGGGAAATCCCCCCCATCCCCCCCGGCAAATTGCACCCGGGCTACACATATAAAGAAGGTGCACACACACTGAAAAAAATGGTGTGGAATTTTCACTCAGAAATTGCTAGTAACCTTTACAAAGAAATAGCAAGTAACATTGAATTAAATATGACATTTTGAAGTAGAAAATTTGAAATAGTATTTTCTTGTAAATCATTCTCCAGTAAACTTTAAATGTTTTATTTATTTATTTATTTATTTTTGTGCAGTGTCATGCACACAAAGACAAAACACCAGCACTAAAATAATATTCAATAAACATTAATTTAACAATATAGTATGTAATATGAAACCCTAATACATATAACTAATGACTAGAAACAACTAAGAAGAAATGATTTCAATGAAAAGCCATCAAATGTGAAGTGCCACAGGGAATCTACGGTTTTTAACTGTAAATTATAAGATGATTTGTTCTTTTTCACTTTACAGTCATCCAAAAACTATACATTGAAGTGTATTTAACTGTAAAATTACTTGAAAAATTTCAAATTACCTTTTTTTTTACAGTGTGTCTAAACAAAGTTCACAAATTCAGATTGTATTTTGTGTCACTGCCTCCATAACTTCTTGCATATCTAAAGTCTTAATGGGAACCAATCTAGTCACCAACACCCTTGTTTAGAGCCCCGCGTTTAACCTTCACAGGACAGTGTAAACATTAAAGCTAGCTCTGCAGAAGTTGAGCTCTACCAACAAACAACAGTGTTTGTTACGAGGCAGCGAGGAGCAGAACAAAGCGTGTTAAAGCAGCGCAGTGTCTGATTTATCCACAGGTGTTAGCCACAGCCGTCGTCCTCTAGTGCTGTCGCCAACATCAAATGCACTAGCTCAGAGAACAAGGTACAGCGGCACATTAAATATGTTTTTGAAATCACTTTTTTGATTCATGGGAAATGAGCTTTGCGTGCACATTACCCTTGAGCCAGAGCTTGCAGCTAAGGCTCGCCTATTGGATTCCCGCCGGCCGCAACTTTGTTTTTCATGAACAGAGGAAGTTGATATACAGCCGTGGTGGGATATTGCTTTGTATTACACATTCACTACTCTCCCTGAGGGGATGCTCTCTAACTGAGGTGAGAGCAAGAGGGCCTTTTAGACAGCCCGCTAATGACAGAGAAGCATTAGTGCTGTTCTCCCTAAAGCAGCACTTCATACATTCACATGCTCAGGGGACAACTGGCCCCGAAAGCACTGATCTGGAACTCTCTCCGTGTTCCTCAACGGGTTACCTGTGAGGAGCGTAAAGGAAAACAATATCTTATTCCAGATAAGCTCCCACTTGCCTTCCTTCACAGCAAAAGAATGTGTGAATCTCAGAGGTTCCTCTTTCTGGACTGGAGAAGTCGGTCAGATCATGAGACAAACAGACTGAAAGGGTTTCAGAGGGCATTAGCTGTGGCTGGCGGGTTTAGTCTCAGTTAGCGTAGACATGCTGAAGCCCGGCCGCGGCGGTCCGTTCAATCTAACTCATCAGCGTCAGGTTGTGGCCTAAGAGAGCCGACGAGCTGCTTGGGTGGAGAGACTGGACTTCTTGACAGAGTTCTTGGGGGATAAAGTGATTTGTGATGTAATCCACATGAAATCCATACATGGGGGGGATCGGTGTGTGGAGAAATGAGAAGGATTGTTCACAGAACTGGCCTGAGCATTTTAGCACCCCCGGATAGCTTTTCAGATGACCTGCGGGGTGAGTGTGTGTTTAGAGTGTGTGACATGAGGCATTTTAGAGATTAGGAGGTGACAGGTTCGATGGGCGAATCAGGATGCGGAGCGGCAGGTCGAGCTGTTAAATGTGGACTCAGCAGATGTAGAAGGCAGAGGGGGCATGTTTGGAGAGGGAGAGAAAAAGAGAGCAGGTCTGTGTGTGGAAGAAAGAAAGAGACAGGAGGCATCATATATCTCTAAACTTATGCTCATAATGCATTTAGTCTTATTTTCCTTTAGTTTAACCTTCTAAATTACGTATTTAAAGGTGCTATCAGTATTATTCCCTTGTTAAAAAAAGATTTACCCCTGAAGAAATAAATAGCACTTTTGAAATATGTTTAATATAATATACACTCATGCATGTGAGATAAAGAATCCAGCATATCAGTAGTCTAATAAAATCTGTTTAAAATCACCACGTGGAGGCTACCATGTCAAGATTTTTTATTTTATTATTTTATTTTACTTTATTTTATATAAAATAATATTATACATTCCATATATACTTTATATATTTTTCTGTTTGTATTATAATTTTAATTTATTTTTACTCTACTGTAATTTTGTTTTATAATAGATGTAACTGCAACTGTAAACTGCAAATGCTTTAGCAACTAAATCATGCAATCATTAAATAAAGCATGCAAAAAAGTTTTTTTTTCCATTTTTATTAAAATTGTTGCTTCCTTCTTTCTTTTTTATTTGATTTAATTTTTCATTACTTGTTTTTTGTTTTTGTTTTTGCTTTTTACCCTGTTTGCACTATCATTATCATTTCATTTGATCATATTTTAACACATTTGTCATTGCACACACGTTGCAAATATTTCCGCAATAAGTAGTTTTTCATGCCATAGAAACTTACAAAATAGAAAAAAAATATATATGAACCAAATGTGTTTGACAAAAAGAATGTGTGTGTAAGGGAAATATAGAGGCAATGAAATAGAAAAGAAAACACAACAAGAGGATGGAAAGAAAAACAGCGCAGGAGGGGTCAAGCGACAGGAAGCTTTAGTGATGCATTTATACCGAGGGTGGGCAGTTTTACAATTGTATATTGTAGATAGTGGCTCAAGTGTCTCCAAGTCCACAGTTTTGCACAGCTGGAAACACGGCTGTTAAGCTCCGACCCTGGCAGAGAGCGAGACACTGAATCAAAAGACTCTGCACCGCATGAGCTTCGTGTAGCTCTTAAAAGTGGTAGCCAACACACACACACACACACACACGCACACGCAGAAGGTAGATTCTGGGCTGCTGAGCAGCATCTGTTGATTGTGACACTCTCATTGACCTTTCTCTCTCATGTCTCATACATTTTTCATGGTGCCGGTTCTTCGGAGGGCCTAACTGACAGGAAAGAGAATTCCCCACCGTGTGATGGGAGGAAGTACTCAGACTCAGACAAGATCCTGTTGGATCCTGTACGATTACGGATCCATAGTAATGTGACTGTAAATGTATGGAATTAGAAACATTTTCTAGGTAGCTCACAGAAGCGTTTCTGCATGTATGCAAGTGAGCATCCTCCTCCTGAATGTGTGCGTGTGCGAGTGTGTGGTAGTGTCTATCATCTGAACTCTGTTACACTACTGCCATCTGCTGGTAGAACGACTCACTGCTGGGTCACTGCATTGAGCTGAAATTCACATCCTTATTCAGCATATTGGTTTTATAAAATCATAAAATAATGAAACACGACACCAAATGCTTGTTTCCATGGCCTCAGATGTCCTTTCTCTTCCTTCAAAGTCAGTACTCCGTCTTTATGTCTTTGCTTGCCTTAGTTTTTGTTGTATGGATGTGTAATAGACAAGAAGTCATTTTTGATGGATGTGATGACTCCATACTGGGTTATTTCAATGTCTCTCTCGCTAATAAAACCGCCGGTGTAATTTTAAAATCAAGAAAATAGCTTACTCACAATTTTGAAACTTCTAAACCTTCCACCTTTAACTATTTTAACTTTGCGTTCTTTGCTTTTAACTGCTTCCCATGTGAAAGAGGCCATCACAAAATTAGAATAATTTGCTTTTGTTTCCAGGTTATAAAAAACATCCCTGTACATGTGTGTACATGGTGATTGTATATGACCCTACATTGAAACCGAGGAGATTTATCTTCTTAGGATTTCAGAATCCAATTTATCTTCTGGTTCCTCACAAGAATACCATCAAAGACGAGGGCCTTTTTAGCAATAGGATGCTATGACTGTGCCTAAGTCAGTGCTTTAACCCCACGCACAGGATTGTGGGTTAACATGGATCTGAATATGCCTATATATTTTCCTTCCTTCATGTGAATGCAGCATTTTTAAAGTTACGTTCTCAAAGTCCACAGGATGACATACCTTCTCCTACATAATAATTCATCTAGTGAGCAAAACATTGAGCTGCAGTCACTGGAGAAATGACCTCTGCCCTCTAAATGAATAAAAAGTCACTATATCATAATCTGCTGTTATTGGTTTATCGATATTTAAGGAAGAAGTCTAGAGGGTCCAGTGGGTGTGAAGCAGCATTTGATTGACAGCGATACTAGAGGCAAGGCTAACGACAAAACACGGTACCTCTTATGAAGGTCGTTTGGCATATTGTGTTTGTTTTTCTTTTTTGTATTATTTTAAGAGTATGTGGTGAGAAAATAAATTGCTCAGACATTGGAAAATTGCTTCTCACACCAGCTTGTTAAAAAAGCCAATTATGTCAGCAGCGTAATGGCCATTGTCAAGCACAGCGGATTATTTGTGTCAGGGTCTTCATTGTCCAATTCATCCCAAACCCCATCTGGGTTAAAGAGAGAGAGTCCGGTGGAGCATCATGATGTAACTGAGGAGAGGAGGGAGGTAGAAGGAGATGATGAGTTTAGAGGACTTAAGTGACTGAGAGGGACAAAATTAAACCCACTTGGGATAAACACATTCATGTAAGCCCGTGGGATGCACCGCTGTGGGCTCATTGGAGTTCTTTGTGGGGTTTGCTGAGATGTATTTAGCTGTCCGTTGGGACGGCACTCTGTGCAGTCTAGAGATATTGAGACCGCAAAATTAGTGCAGCGATGAAACATCCAGTTTGCCAGAACTATTATAAATATTTGATGTAAAACATGACCACAGTAGTAGAGTATTCCTCCAGACAAATGTGTGGACTACTTTATCAAGAATCTTGAGGGAAGATAAATCTCCCGAACAGTTTTTTAACATACCCATCAATGTGCTGGAGTTGTGATACTGTAGTAGTGTAGTAACTTGTGTGTGTGTGTGTGTGTGTGTGTGCGCGCGCGTGCGTGTTTAGGGATTTGTTTGTTTTCTGGTTTTGGTTTGCGTTGCCTTTTTTCTGCTTTGTTGTGTTTTTTTCTGTTTTGTTTAGATTAGATTCTTTCTGTTGTTTATTTGTTTGTTTTTATTCTGTTTTGTTTTGGTTTGCCTTTTCCTGTTTTGTTGTTGTTTTGGTTTGGTTTGCTTTGCTTAGAGTTTTCCATTTTCTTTTTCATTGTGCTTCTCTCTCTTTTTTTCTCTTCTTTTTTTGGTGATAGAAGTATTTCAGTAGAATGTTTACTCTTAATACATCTGTTTTTTTTTTTATAGGTGAAAAGCAGGATGAAGAAATGATGAGCCAGCAAGGTATGCCTTTTGTGTATTATTGTTTAAAGCTAAGATAATTTAGTTTTTCCTGGCATTGCCCTTTTAATGCAAAACCCTGAGACAGAGTCATTTCCAAGCAGTTATATTTTACAAGAAAGAAGAGCAGGCCTGCAGATTTACTTCAGTGCTTGTCTCTTCTGAAAGACACATCAAAATGTTCCTGTGTCTTGTTAACCTAGTATTTTTAGCTTATGTTTTCATCTTGTCACCACAATTTAGGAGCAAACGCAATTTGTCAGTACTTAATGAGTTATTTTATCTACTACAACTTACTGATTGGCTTGTTCTACTCAGAACAAATTCAACTACAATCAATGTGGTCAACAAACACACTTCCCACATATTTTTTCAAAAGGGTGCTTAACTGTTTGGAAGCAGATCTCTTAGAAGTGGTGAACGCCTCACTTCTTTCTGGGACTTTAGAACAAGAACCAAACAACATCCTGAGTGTAAATGGTTCAAACTTTGCTAACTATATGATGTTGTAATATCAAATTGTTATATCAAAATCACAGAAAGTTTCTCATCCTCAGTGAGCCATTAAGAAAAAAGTATAATAATACTTTTGATAATCAAACATCAGCTGGAGTCTTTCCTGTTCCTCTTCACAGAGGAATTTGTGCTTTCATTTCTACTTGCCAGCAGCAGGAGTGATTAGATAACAATCATCCTCTCTTCTTTAATATGGGATTAGCCACTACAGTCTGATGAAAGTACCAAAAAAAATATATTCTTTCTTTTTTTTTGAGGATTTAAGAAGAAAGACACAAATCTTGTTATCAAGCTTTTCTCTTGTTTGATTTCAGTGGGATCCCATAAGGATGTGACGATGGATAGCCAGGAGCCAGAAGGTTTGTCGTCATTCTGTTTTTCTTTTTAAATTTTAGTCTAGATTACTACAAGCACCAATGGGATGATGCTCACCAACACATACAGTGGCCCCTAAATAGTTAAACACTTAAGACACACTTAAAAAATTGTGAATGAAATTGCATTAAATAACAAAATATCAGATCAATTTTATGAAATATAGCATATTTCATAGCTTTTCTTACAAATCGTTTAACAAAAATAAGTTTCTAAGGTTGTAAGTAATACAACAAGATATACAGTATATTATTAAACAATTATTAAATAGTATTTGGACACTTTCTGGTTCACTTGACACCTCCAGCACTATTTGCAGATGTCATTTGGTTCAGTATCTAACATTCATATATATTTATGACATTCATACATATTTAAATATGACTTAAGTCTTTAATAGTTTACCAATACTTTTTCAGACCACTACATACTTCCTGATTTCTCATAATATCCAGTAGCCGAGAACAATAGGAATCAGAAAGCATGCGAAATAGGTCCGTCTTTGTGGTTCAGTATGCATAGATCTCTCCCAAACACATGGAGTCTACATGCAAGTGAGCGAGAAAATTCACTGGGTCTCTCCATAGTCTTTACGCTTCATGCGTCACGCTGAACCCATTCACTGAAGGATCTGTATTGGCTCTGTTGTCCTTGAACTTGTCTCATTACAGACAGGGAGAGTGGCTGTCAGATACAGTTATTACCGTGACACTCGTGTGTGTGTGTGTGTGTGTTTTGGGGGTGCATCTGTTTAATGAGACACCTCGCTCCAATCCACACGAACGTACACAGACAGACATCAGAACATGTGCATCGACAGACACACACCACTGCACACGCTGAAATGATTGCTTGTACACACACACACGCTCATAGGAGCATGGCCCGACTCCCTCTGGGTATTCATGTAGCGCGATAGAAATTTTGTGTTCAAACCCTGAGGACAAAACCAGCCGCAGCCTGTCTCTGCTCGGCTAGCATTGAGCGTGCACTTAATGTCACTTTGACTGCAGAGCTCTGAATCGCATTTGCGCACTCATAAGCCGTAGTTTTGTTTTGGTTTAGGATTATCAGTGTGGTACCAAAGTGCCAGTGCTTTTTGACATCCTTATCGCCAACTTTTGATTTACTTTTCCTCTACTGGCACTGACGGATGAAGCTATGAGCATTATTAATAGTAGTTTTGCCAGGCAGAGGAGGCAAAGCAAATGTTCTGCTTGGACCGAACCCAAGAGCCATATATACTTGCAATTATGTTCCCAGGAGAAAAGCAAAACAGAGAGGTTTTTAAGACCAGGTGAAGCAGAGACAGAGGCTAAATCTGAATTTGCCTGAGTGCTGAGCACCTGCGACTCATGAATTACGAGTGCTGACCAGCACATAAAGATGTATCTGCATTGTTTTTTTTTTTTCATGTTTGTTTGTTCATTCATGTGTTTTTCGATGAGATTGTTGTGTGTTCTTTTCATTTGTGTGTGTGTGTGTGTGTGTGTGTGTGTGTGTGTGTGTGTATACATTATTTCTTTCATACATTGTATACACAATGTATACATTATTATTATTTTCTCACATATTTTCAATATATATGGCCAATATATCTGTGTGCAAACAGCATTAAATCCTATTGATAAAGAGTTTGTATGAATTTGACCTCCATACACAAGCTGTTTCACACACAACCACAGGAGTAAAATTCATACTCTGGCTGAATACATCTCATTTCAGCAGGAAAAACAAACCAAGCTTGACAAAAATAAGCAATTTATCTTCTAAATGAATGACACCCATATTGTTGTCTCTGCCTTGGTGTCTGTCATTCAAGGGTGCATGTGGGTCTTTAGGGTGTCCAGATATTTTTTGAGACAAGTATAATTGATTTTCTGTCTGTTTTCCAAAGGCGAGAGCCCTGATGCTGAATCCAAGGACGAGGAGATCAAACCTCCTGAAAAGGGAGACCATATAGGTAACATCTCCAGTGTGCCTGCTTCCATATTTTGCTCTAGCAAAATCCAAAATTCCATGCTACAAAATATTCTATAGAGAAAAATTAGATTATAAAAATGGGGAAACCAGAATGGTTTTTCTAAGGCATCACTGCAAAAACACCTTTTTATTTTTAAGATAAGATATCATAAACTAACAATGAACAACCATTTTTACAATGTTTCTTAATCTAGATGAATTTTATTTTATGAATGTAATTATGTTCATTGCTAATTTTGATTTGTTCAGTGATGTTAATTTGCACCGTCTTTTACGGTCATTGGTCACCAAGGCAATATTTATGATCAAAAATACATTAAAAACGGTAATATTACAAACTACTTTTACAAATATTAAAATAACTATTTTTTTATTTTAATATATTTTTAAATGAAATTTTTTCCTGTGATGGCAAATCTGATTTATTTAGCAGCCATTACTCCAGTCTTCATTGTCACATGATCCATCAGAAATCATTCTAATATGTTAATTTGGTGGATATCAATATTTGTAACTGTTAACAGCCCGGCGTCTGTAACTGAAAATGACCCTGGCATTACTCGTTTTCAAATAGTCCATTCACGCAGGAACATATATTGTGTATCTCTCCATGACTGTGCTGTTCTTGAAGAATTTAAAACAACTTGGTGTTCAAAGCTGGCTAAACATACCAGTTTTTAACCCACAACCAGGGCTGCACAATATAAAAAATACAATACGTGATGCAATAAAGAAAATTAATAAAGTGTGTTTAAGGTGAATATTTTTAGAGTATTTAAAAACAGAAAATGACATATCCAGCCTTCACATTCCACGATATGCATATGTGCAATATTTCAATAAACGTGATATATTGTGCAGACCTACCCACAATGTTTGTTACCACCTGTGGTTTGAAATGAGGTAAATACAGTTTTAATATTCAAATAAAACCTGCACCACTGACAGTAAGTGATAAAACAGTCTAGACATCTTGGGTTTAATATTTGAAATCCGCTTTCCCACACCACAGAAATACATTTACTTAAAAAATTAGCAGTAAAGTGAGCAATCTGGGCTCCTCTTGGGATGCAGTGAGATCAAGAGTCCTCAGGCAGCTGCTACGAGTGTGTGTGGGTGATATAAATCTTACTTTCCTGCAGGACGCTACATGAGTCTCGGAATCTATAAGTGAGGGACGGAGGCCTCCAGGGCTCCATATTGCCCAGGTGGTGTGCCCAGCCAAACTACCACACACACTTCCTACTCCTCCATTGATTATGTGAACGCGTGTCTGTGTCCCTCTGAACTGCGTCTTCAAACGCTTTCCACACAGATGGAGTCAGGGTGGACACGTGTGCATTAAAATCCTGTTTTGTGTCTTTCATCTGATGGAGTGTGTATGTGTGTGAGGGCGAGGGCAAAATTGATGTCTTTTGCGGCCTTGTATCCCACTCCAGAGCAGACACAGGTGTTAGCTGGAACCGCACAGATGGATACTCTGACTCTCCATCCCTTTAAAAGAGAAAGAGGGATGAGATGGGGAGGGACAGAGACCCAAATACAAATTAAAGGCATTAGGCTGAAACAGCTGCTGCAGTTCATCCCAAAGTGGCGGCGTAATACCGCTCGGTCTTAAGCAATGGGTCGCCTATTTCTTCTCCATTAAAACCATCATTTAGAACTCATCAAGTTAATCTGAGTGCTCGTCCACCAATATTTCATCTCGCAATATATAGTTATTAAGTCTTATTGCACACTCCTTTCGTTTATACTCTTTTCAGTGAGTATAGTGATTTGCTGGCTCAAACATCAAATTTTTTGTATGTTTGAATCTAAAACATAAGAAATGCTAAGTCAGTGGGGCCTTCAGATGTTTCTTTTTACCTTTTTTTTTTTTTTTTTTGACAAGTTGGCTGTTGACACAAATTTAAACTATAGTATAATATAATTTTATTGGCTTAAAGTTTTTTTTTATTTTTTTATGTGACAACATTATAAAATTGTAAGTTTTACAAAAAAAACTTATTCATCAAAAAATGACAGGAAAAAATTAAGCAGCAGAATTTTGTTCAATGTTGTTGATGATAAGAAATGTTTCTTGACCAATTCAGCACATTAGAATGATCTCTAAAGGATCATGCAACACTGAAGACTGGAGTAATGGCTGTTAAAAATGTAGCTTTGCCATAACAGGAATAAATTACATATATAATATATATTTAAATCGAAAATTGTTCTTTTAAATTGTAATAATATTGCTGTTGAGCCAGTCTTGGTGACATAAGAAGATGCACCGTTCATAATAACAAGCACATTTTTCACATTCCACATGTTTCTTCATCACTCTTACTTAATGCAATCCTGCCCGCTAAAAGCCAGCTACAGCCCACTAAAGTGACAGTTAAAAATTCACTGAAGGCTGAGCAATGTAAATTCTGGCAAGTTTCTCATCATTTTCAAATAAATGTAATCTATAGCAATTTCAACAACTTCCACAAATGTCAACAAGCTAGCCAAACTAGTTTGGTTCTCCACAGCATCCACCTGTAAGACACCAGCTCTAATGCAAGGCTTAATCCTTATAGCTTAAGTAATTCACACATAGACCGAGATCATAGACTCACATTCTCATGTTCATACCCTGAGTGCACCTGAAAGGACATGATTAATCAGAGGCTTAAGCCATGATCAATGCCATACATACAAATCCACAACACACACACACACACACACACAGAAGAACATCTGCTGCATCCAGTCGAGTACCAGAGAAAGGGTCTCCGTCTCCCAGATGCTGCAAGTTTTACCAGCCGACCCTGATCAATTAAACGCCTACAGCAATTCCTTCAATGAGAGCGAGAGAGTGAAGGACTGAACATTTGCATTCAGTTTCCACATTTACTTGGTTTCTCACTGTAAAGTTGTCAATCAAGTCTTAAACTCTGCAATAAGGAGACAGTTTGTGTGACGGTAGAATGCTGTAACAACGTTTGTAGATCGGGAAGAAGGAGGCGGGAACCGGCGAACATTTAAATACTTTAATAATAAAACAAACACAAAATGAAAGTAAAGCGGCAGCCCCTCGCGGACGACTGCCGCACACAAAACACAAAATAAAGTCCAGGCCTGGTCCTCTCTCCTCCAACACTGTCGTCACTCCTCCTTTTATCCTTCCAGAGCTCCTCCGTGGGACTCGAGACCGGTGAGTGGCGCAGGTGTCGTGCATTAGCATTTACTCCACCGGCCTCGCTCCGTTCCCACGGCTCTCGGCCCCTCCTCTCTCGTCACAAATGCTAATAACAGAAATCCAGCAAATATTCTGTTAATAGTTAATAAAACATCTTCTGAGTTTGTAACCCATGATACATTACCCAATATAGAGAGCCCAATAATCTGTGATATTATTCAAAGCATATTTATTTTTTTGTTGCAGATTATGTAATGTTTTCTTTTCTTTTTAACTAATATTGGCATTTTCGCATATATCTCCCAGACGCATGTTATTTATGTGTGTTTCTTTGGGTTTTAGTGGAGGCGAGTCCAACAGCAAAGAAGAAAGTTGAACAGGAGAGCGAAAAAGAGATGGAGAAGAAAGAAGGCAAGGGAGAAGACCCGCAAGTTGCAGGTGAGATTTACACATCATTCACACACTGGTTGTAGAAGAAACATGTCAATACTGACAGATTACAGAAAATAAGAGCTTAGGGTTTATAAGATAAAAAAGACACATAAAACAGTGTTAAAGGTGATGTGTATATTTTATTAATAGCAGGAGATTTGTAGTTCCTTTTCCTCCAGAAAGTGTAAACACAGACTTAACATGTAATCATCTAAATATCTTTATATAATAATTAGCATGACTGGTATAATCTGATAATACTGGCTTTAACATTGTATCTATCACACTTCTACCGCATTGCGGGTTTTATATTATGGATCTGGTTATTCCTCTCTCTGATAAGGCCAGTAATGATGTATAGATAGTTAAAACAAGTCAAATTCCCCTAAATTCACTAAAAGTTTAATTAGATGCGGAAAGTCGTCTGGCATGTGTGACTTGATAAATTTAACAAAACTGATCAAAGGAGAGCTGAGGAGCTGGTATATGAAATTAATTCATAATGACAAAAGCCTGTCAGTGAATATCTAATGGACTAAGTGAGGTTTGTTCACTTTATGAGCAATTATGTTTATGAGAATAGCCTAAAATGCATTTTCACACTTGAGCCATTAAAAATGAATGTGATTAGATAAAAAAAAATATTACATCTTGTGGCATCTGCAAACAGATGATTAACCTTTTCTCAAAATTAATTTCCTTAGCACTTTTTTTCATGTTCTTTAACCAGCTGGTTTTTAGTGGATGAAACGTTTTCCAAACCAGAAATTGTCCAAATACTTTGAATAGTATATGTGTTGTTTTATCATTTAAAATCTAAATGTTTAGTGAAAATGTATGCTTGTGAAGTCTTTCCACCAATGAAATGCTGTTTGATGTGAGATATTGTTATCTAATGTAATTGCATTCATAATGGCATTCTGCAGTCATTATAGGTTTCCTACAGGAATTGACAGCTTGGAATCTTCTATTCCTGTTATCAAGATGTGACAGCCAGTTTTTCCCTTTCAAAAAAGGCTTTTGTTTTTTGAATGTGTATTGATTGATTGTTTTCTATGTATATGCGTGCAGAAATTGACATTTTCTGAAAAGCCTCTGTGTAGAAATTGGAAGCATCTCCAGAGTCCGTCGTGATGGCTGGTTAGCAGCTTGAATGCCAAGGAATTTCCTAATCTCTCGATTTGTGATGAAAATCCTCTTAGTAAAGCCATTACAGGTTTTAAAATCTGGCCTTGTGTGTGTTTAACCGTTTTTTGAAACTCGCCAAGCATACAAAGCGCTGACGTCTTAATACGAGCCTGCTATCTGTGACCACACAGCCTTGTTAAATGCAGACAACTTAAAAACTGAAAACAAAAACACAGTGTAGTGTTGTCTCACAGGCATATGCTGTGAAAAAGCTGTCAGCCGTTTGAGGCAGTATGAGAGGGCAGAAGAAACAGCTGTCGTGTCTTTAATCTTCTAAGTTTCATACAGGAGATTCAGGGAGGCTGTCCTCCCCTCACTCTTGAGGGCATGGCTTCAAATTGGTCTCGGAGCCCCATTATTAAAAATATAACGGTAATCTCACCGGCTGCCGGATCTGAATGAGGAAATAAAGAGACGGTAATTCTGAACTGGATGAATTATGAATGGAGCTTTTTGAGAAGTGAGCAAATCGGAAAGGACAATGTTATTGGATTAACATTGTGGGGTTTTTTTATCCGTTAATATGTTAATCTGTCTCGTTCTGTCAAGGGGAAGAGAAAGGGGGTAGCCCAGAAAAGAAGATGCAGACAGGCCAGCCTGATGAAGCGGGAAAACAGATGGAAGGTAAGACTAGTATGATCACCTATTTAAAGAAAGAGAAAGATGTACATGGCACATTCCATGTATACTTTGGTGTCCAATTTCTTTCTTTAAAAGGATAGTTCGCCCAAAAATGAGAATTCTGTCATAATTTATCCTCATGTCGTTCTTCTGTGTGAAGATATTTTTGAAGAATGTTGGTTTCGGTTCCCATTGTATGGACAAAAAAACAAAAAACAGTTTAAGTCAATATGAGCCGCAACAGTGTGGTACCAACATTCTTCAAAATATCTTCTCTCAAATAGAGTTCTGGAATAATGTGAGAGTGAGTAAATCATTACAATTTAAATTTTTGGGTCGGCTATGACTTTAAAGCTTTAGAAGATAAATCACATGTATTTGTTGTAAGAACTATTCAAACATTATGTAAATAATTTAAAGTATAATTTTATTATATTTATTATTTATAACTTGCATTAAAGTTTATCAAACAAATATATATTGTAAGTTTATTAGTACCTGTAAACTAATATTTGGCCCAAACTACAGCCAGACAGCTTGATTTAAGCTAAATTTGCAACCATTTTACCCATTCTACAGTATTTTTAAATTAATTATATTTAGTTTTATTAGATGTTATTATGTTTTATTTATTTTATTTTTATTTGTTTATTATATTTAATTATTTATTAAACATGAATATACACAGTATATATATTAAATGTATAATTGAATAATAAATTATAATAACATATTATTATTATTATATTCAGTTATAGGATTTTTATTTAGAATTTCTTTATTTAAAAAAAAAATCAGGTTTTAAATGGTATTATACAAATTTTGGTATAATGTTGGCCAAAAAGCATCATGGAAAATGAATGGAAGTTAAAACCTGTTTTCTAAAAGTTAAGCATTTCTTTCACTGGCCATGTGAAAAAGAAAAAAAGACATCCCTATTTTATACCCTATTTATGGTAAATGAAAGTGCCACATTTAGTCATAATATAAAGCAAGGTTACATATAACCAGACACATACAATAGTATAGATACTAGAGGTTGAACGACTGCTGATTTTTTAAAGTCGACTTTTATGTGATGAAAGTCGACTAGTCGCTGATGACGTCATTAATGAACAAGTCTGGAGCTGTGACAAACACCTTGTGCACAGCTATGGCATATTACACAGCGCTGCCCACATGGCTATTGCTCCTATAACAGCTCATTTTTATCAGTTCTTTTGTCTTTGAGTCGTTATGTTTCTCACAGATTTCTGCTCATTCTAAATCAGATACAGATAAAGTAGCACAGTAAAGATTACATTCATATGAATGCATTACCAGTAATATAATCTCACATGTCTTGTGTAGTGCTTTCAGAGTATGCATTTATTTGTCATTTTAACTGTTTGGAAACGGAGCGTAAATGTGGAAGTCCTTCAAAGATTTATTTTCCTGTTGCGCCCTCTATAGGACCAGCGACTAGTCGACGTCAAGCTTAAAGCGTCATGGCAGAGCATTGAAGTCGACTAGTTAACTAGTCGATTAGTCGGCGCAACCCCTAATAGATACACAGAGGCCTGTCTGGAACATGTACGCACATTCATTCAATTATGCCCACTATTTGTGTACACAAAACTTGATAAAAGTGTTATGTACACAGATAATGGATAACAATCCCCATTTAGACACAAGCGACAGACTAATACACACACACACATACACACACACAAACGTGGCAGTACCAGATGTTAAACACGGAGAAGGTGAGATCGATACAACATATTTAAGAGGATAAAGCCAAGCTCAACACCTCACCATACGGTGCTTTTAACAAAAACACGCTCACGTTCACACACAAACAGCCTTCCATAACACCTCAGCCGAGTGTTTCTGAACGCTGTTGGCACATGGTCATTAGGGCACTGCTGCCAATTTTAAGCAGGTGTGTCAGCTTTTGTAACTTATAAAGTCTTATAATGGTTGTGCATGTGTTAGCATGGGATTGGATTTTGAATAAAAGCATCTACTAAATGACTGACTAACATGGAAGCGAGTAACACAAATAAGGGGCCCTCAGCTCGAGAGACTTGTTTCGAAAGTCTGCATCGATATTAAAAACATAAAATGGTTTGCTCTGTAAAGTGCCTAGACTTGTTTACTTTTTGAAATTGTGTTCAAAGTGAATCACACGTTTGACTTGTTCACATGCTTTTCCCCTCAACAGCCCTTGCACGGTTGACTCGATACGTTTGTGAAAGATTCATAAATTAAACAAAGTTCTCTTAGCCTGAAGGTACCTATGAATAAGTCTGGCTTTGCTAATGGAGGGCGTTTTTTCATCCGTGGTGTATTGCGGCTCCTGCAGTGGGAGTCGATATCGCCTCTTCGCCTTGCATGCAGGTGAGATTTACTGCGATGGCTGCTGAGCCTCAGTGGCTCTGAATCCAATCAGAGTTTCTCTCCTCATCTCTCACTGTCTGACTGATGAAGGTGGGGTTTTTTCACTCTATCGCACCAAATGAGGTTCAGCCTGTTTCTACATGTCGTTTTTTGATGACATATTGCAAACTGCAAAACTTATTTTGCCCGATTAAATCTGATGTTACAGTGGTAAAGTGAATCAACCACAGACCATTTCAAATGATGGCTGGAGAACAGGTGGATCTTTAGATCAGTGTAAGATATCTTAGGAAAAATGTTGTTTTTGGAAAGTTGTGCTGTGTCAGTTGCTTCAGTCGGTTTAGAAGTGGTAGGAGAATGAGAGTTGGTGTGTGTAAAGCAAACTGTAAGCCCAGAAATACACTCTGCAAGTACACAAACGAGATGTGCTGATGTATCGGTCGATAAAGAGGGTGGAAGTTGTGATATGCTGTGTTTTAAACAAAAATGTTATTCAAATTTTGATATAATATTGGTAATTTATATAATGCCTTGTTTGTAGGGCTGCACAATTTGACCAAAATTTTGTGATTATATATCAATATGGCTATAAATGGTGGTAATAATAATAATAATAATAATAATTACATGAAAATTTAAAAAATAACAAAATTGTAAAATTACAATACTAATATTTATGGATTAATTTCTTCATTTTGAAACATTAAACCATCAAATGGGAGGCATAAGCCCCTCCTCCTTTAATCTGCAATGCTAAATTTTTCCCCTCCCCGTTCGGAGGTCTGAGCATGCCACTGTTAATCATGTATCCCTATAATATAATAAATGCACAATAAGTCTCTAATATGTAATATACTGTAATATATGTTGCTTTTGTTTCAGTGTTTTCTGTTTGTAACTGGAGATCCTCCTTATTTTTGGGGATTCATTAATTGTTGGCTGTTATATACAAATGATTTTATTTTATAGTCTTATTTCAGTTCTAAATATTTCATATTGAGATGTTTTTCATGTTTTGAAAAATTGTTACTAATGTGAATGCAAATGCTTGGCAAATGCATTGCATGTGTTTATATGCTTGATAGAGTTACCTTTATATGTCTGCTACAGTACATTAATGGATATGTTATTATTTATGGAGCTAATTATAAACATTTGACAGTTTAAAGTAGTTTCATGTTTTCGCAGGTTACTTTTCTATTGTGCTAGCTAGAGTAGCATGAAATGGAGCTTGTGTAGCTGGAAACATTTGCCTGCGCATACTTGCATTGCGTAAAGTTTGTTCAGGTCTTAGAATTATTAAAGCCAATGTTGTGTGAGGAAAAACTTGAGAGAAGACAAAACTGAAAGAGAGGCAGAACACACACTTTCATTCCCATTGTCTTTTGTTCTCAAGCACAGTGGGCAATCAGTGTTTCTCAGCCAGAGGAAGACATCTCAGAGTTATTCTTTCTTTTACTCTCTCCAACCCTTTGTTTTCTGTCTGATGTCATGGTGAGGCTAAATTGGAGTAGTTTGCCAGCTTAACTCTTGGACATCAGTTAATATTCATCATTTCCCGTCTTACATCCACTGTAGTGAGATCACACGGCACCCATTCTCATAGTCTCTCCGATAAGAATTTATATTCACTCAGGAAATCATCAAAAGAAATCATTGTTTATTTAAGGGCTATGCTCACTTATTTATTTGTTTACTTCTTGAAGTTACACCCTCCGGATTCTCCATGTAAAGTTGCCCGGGTTTGGATCTCCTGGGTTTTTGTTCCTTGTGTATTAACTATTGATTGCAGCCAAGTTTTCGAGACTGATAGTGACGCCATCCTAGTTGCTCACTGCCTCCTGGAGAATGTGGCCCTGAGGCAGAAAGCCAACAGTATCCGCTGTGGCCATCTGTTGCTTGAGTTGAAGCCCTGCGCATTTCTAGCTTCTCGGTTCAGTAAAACCCACCGAACAACAAAGGAAGTTTTTTTTTGTTTGTTTGTTGATCATTCACATTATTTGATTTGTTGGCCTATTCTAATTTTCCCTCAGTTTTTTCCCCAGTGTTGAGGAGTAGCTATATTTATTTTTCAGCAGTGTGACACAGCTGGTTTTATAAAAGTGTAACTTTTCCAGTAATTTTGCATGTCTGATTCATTCTAGTGAATCTGTCAGTTCAGACAGTTCATGCAAATGAACTAAAATAATTATTTTTATAAATGAAAACATTTGGTTTAATGCATTTGTTTTTCTTTTCTTTTGCATTTAGCTTGAATTTATCTGTTCATTTAGTGCTGCCACACTTATTTAAATTGTTCCTTAATTCAAAGCCCCCCATTGTTGTGCCAGCTATATCTAAATGTATATAAAAAGATGATCCCCTAATGTAGCTTCAATGCATTTATTCATTTAGGAGATGCTTTTATGCAAGGCGACATTTTGAGGAGCATTGCAAGCAGTCTCTTATAAAAGTCAACAATATTTGCAGTTTCAAGTATAAGCTAGTTTCGCACACAAGCTAGAGCAAAAGTGCAATTCAGAAGTTGTTTGTAACATGGAAAGCTATAGGGCCCTATCATATACCTGGTGCAATGCAGCACCAGGCACGACGCAAGTGTTCTTTGCTAGTTTCAGCCCAACGCAGTTATCATTGTTTAAATAGCAAATGCATTTGCACCCATGGGCGTGCTGGTCTGAAAATGAGGTGTGTTCAGGCACATTGTTGGCGCGTTGCTATTTTGAGCAACTGAAATAGACTGTGCCATTGACCAACTGAAACCTGGTCTAAAGTCAATGGCGCTGGACTAAAGTAAATTTTTTTTTTTTTTTTGTTAGTAATATGTGCCTATAGGCGGCGGGTGAACAACACCCGTACACTCTGCTTATTTCACACACACAGGGAAGCGCAGCAGCACACAAACATGCCAAATATTAAAAATGAAAGTGAAAAATGAATATTATTATTGTACCCCGTAGATGGTCTGCTCGTGTGCTTTAACCTTGCGCACGAGCAGAACCTTTCCTCTCTGGAGAAGCATTCAGTCTTTGCTCTTGCAAATTCCACCATGTAAATAGCGAATCCACCATGGCACGAGTGCAACTGGCTTTTAAAGTGAATGGGAGATGAGACTCTGATTGGTTTATTGCACATTACGCCCAAAACACACCCATTACTCATTAAGAGAATAGGGACAACCCTTTTAGACCAAGCGCCGGGCGCGCCAACCATTTTTCCCATCGTTAAATTAGCAAAAGTGGATTCAGATACGTCCTAAGTCCACTTGCGCCATGCGCTTTAGACCATGTACTTAGATCAGTAAAATATGGCCCCTAGTTTCAAAGTCCCAACACTACTTCCCAAATGTCATCTTTTTGTTGCGTGAAATGGAAAACATGGACCACTCAAGGCATCTGTTTTTAGTAGAATCACTTGAGCGAGGTCACACTTCCTCTCTTTATTGTGACTTTCCTCTCGATGGACCCCTGTTGGGTACCTTCTCTGATCCGCCATCCATAGAGTCTTTACATGGTGGAGAGACAGGTAGAGGCAACTGCCTTTTTAATTGGCTGTTTAAATGCGACTTTCTCTTTTCTGTTTGTGTGCCAGGGGAGATTGTGGATATGAAGGCTAAGCTCATGGAGCTTCTGTCAGCCTGTGGCTAGGGCTTATCACAGCACAATTAGCTATTGCCCTGGGCACAAATATTGTAGCGGTCCTTGAAAGAGCCAGGCATTAGCCAAATTTTCTGCATAATTGCAAATATTCTTGCACTGTGTCTATATCCTGCCCCAAAACTCCTCCTCGTAACTGGTTCACAGTTAGTGGGGGTTCTCATATAAGAAAAGCAGGTTCAATTCCAGTCCCTCAAAAAAAATCTTAGTTCCAGAGTCCATTTTTGTAAGCTTTTGTTTTAGTCATAGTTTTGATGAAAATAACCTTTAAATTTAGCCAGTGTTTCATTGCCATGTTCATTAATTGTAGTCAGTTTTACTTCAGACTAAGAATGTATTATTAGCAGTATTATTACTGTTGTGGACAAAGGTATTGGGACACCTGACATCACACCAACGGGGACTTCAGTGACATAGCATTCTAAATACAAGACATTAATTTGGAGTTGGTCCCCTTTTGCAGCTATAACAGCTTCCACTCTTCCGGGAAGGCTTTCCACAAGATTTTATAGTGTTTCTGTGGGAATTTTTGCCCATTCATCCAGTAGAGCATTTGTGAGTCTTGGATGAGAAGGCCTGGCTCACAATCTCCGTTCCAGGTCATCCCAAAGGTGTTCAGTGGGGTTGAGGTCAGGGCTCTGTGCGGGCCTGTCAAGTTCTTCCACACCAAACTCATCCAACCATGTCTTTATGGTTCTTGCTTTGTGCACTGGGGCACGTTCATGCTGGAATAGAAAAAGACCTTTTCCAAACTGTTTCAAAGCATGAAGCAGTAAGCTTTCCCTTCACTGGAAGTAAGGGGCCTAGCCCAACCCCTTGAAAAACAGCCCCATACCATTATCCCTCTTCCATGTACATCATCATTTAACAAAAAATTCTGAAAAATCTGACCTTCTGATATATTTATAATGAACACACTATTGGTCATGCTAATCTTTTGTTAGAGGACAGGTTTGATGGAAACCAAGCCATATAACAGCTTTCGTGTAGAGGCGCCACCATTGTATGAATTCACACATAAATATGACCATCACAAACCCTCTTCAGCCACTGCAACCATCTGCTGATGGACCCTGGACTTCAAACACACCTGATACGACTGTCATTTGTGCCCTGACAGAGCACCCAGAATGCATTGTGTGTGCTCTCCATTATGCAGTCACCTATGGCCCACAACAAGATTGCAGGAGAAGAGGAGTCCTGCTCAAATAAGCTGGAAGGAGCACGGTTCTCACACTGTGGCTTTGAAAATCTTATTTTGATCAGCGAGCTCGTCCCTCCCACAGCCATCCAGACAAGGGTGGGGGATTGGTTCTGGGGAGTGTGCGAGGAATATGGAGGCAGTATAAATCACAGCGAAAGTGAAGAGTGCTGAGGCACAGGATGCAGAGTTTATATTTGATAATGGCAGTTTTGTTTTGCTCATGCCTATTCATTTTGTCCCTCGCACACATCTCTCTCCTTGCAAAGGCGCACAAAATCCATTAAAAAGTCACATAGAATTTAGGTGCTTTAATGCATATTAAACAAAAGAAAACAGTGAGAGAAGAAAAAACATGGACAGTTTGGCAGGAACAGCAAATTATGTGACATCACTTTGAAAACTAGTGCTGGGTATAGTGTTGCTTCTTTGGAAGCTGTTTAACCTCTTTTCTGCTTTAATGGCCATCGTATTCAAAATATTATCTTTGTTTCTTCTATCTGTGTCAATAGACTCAACAAAGAGTGACGACACCGGGGCGGACACCAGTCAGGAACCTGAGGTTCCTATGGAGATTCAGGGTATGTGCTAAATTGGTTTTCCCAAATTTTTTGTGCAATGTTCTTCAATCTCCCATCAGTAAAGCTCAACCCGTTATTTTACGTTAATGAGAAGAACAGTGCTAGGTGCATGCTAGGAGCAAAAACACAAGACTAAGTATACAGTGTACACTACCTTTTAAAAGTTTAAATGTACGTTTTTTTTAAATAAATTAATGCTTTTATTCAGCAAGGATGTATTAAATTGATCAAAAGTGACATTAAAGACTTACAATGTTACAGTAAATTCTATTTTAAATAAATACTGTTCTTTTTCTGAAAAAAAAATGCACAAGAGTTTCCACAAAAATATTAAGCAGCACAACTGTTATCAACATTGATAGTAGTAAAATATGTTTCTTAAGCACCAAATAAGCATATTTGAATGATTTCTGAAGGACTGAAGTAATTTTACAAACCCCAAACTTTTGAATGGTAATGTATGGGGAAAATATGGATTGCATTGGTTTTTGTGACCACAAGACACTGTTTTGAAAGCATGTTTCGTTTGAGAGATTAAAAATGTCTTTATATTGTTAGAGTGTTTGAATGTGAAGAACTTAGATTTTTATATTCTCACATCTCTTTAAACCAGCAAGGTCTAAAGGTGTACATAAACAACAAGGTTTTGCATCCTATTTTCTGCTGCTGTAACTTGGCAAATATAATCTCATGCCATAGCACTTGTGGTGGGTCAGGTTCAAAAGCAGACCCCACATTATGCTAAGTCACTCGTTAAGTTTTTCGCAGCAGGCCCTGCTACCTTTGACAGCTGCGTTTTGCGGCTCTTGGGGTCATGGCAAAGGGGACGCCCTCTTTTCTTACTTTTTTCATATTTAATGTTGTTTTCCCCGTTTTTGTTTTGTGAGATCTGTGCTTTTGAATTGTTTTTGGAGTTGTCATTTGAAGCAGAGAAGAGAAGGTTTTCTCTAACTACTTAAAGGGGTAGTTCACCCAAAAATGAAAATTAGCCCATGTTTTACTCACCCTCAGGGCATCCTAGGCGTATCTGACATTCCTCTTTCAGACCAACACAATCGCAGTTATATTTAAAAATGTCCTGGCTCTTCCAAACTTACATTGGGGTCTTACGTTGAGCCTTCCGCTACGCCTACGTCATACGCTCGAATGCCTTGTCGTGAACGTGCCTGCTTGAGCGACAGGAAGCTGGAGATTACAGTTTATAAATTAAAATCAATATTTTTCTTACACTAACGCATCGTTTCACTTCAGACGGCCTTTATTAACACCCCGGAGCCGTGTGGAGTAGTTTTATGATGGATCGATGCA